TACTTGGTTGTCTGCTGCGTGTTGGTAGATCTACCTGTAGTGCACACCACACCCTTGGGTGACATTGCTGATTCTGCTTTGGGAGCCACTCAGGAAGTGTTGTCATCATACGACAGGAAGTTGGGGTTCAGTAGGTTTGAAAAACTGAAACAGAAGCAAAGTAAAGGAAATCAATGACAACAGTGGAACTAATGGAGAGGTTACAATAATACAGTCAGGTCCATAAATATTGGGACATCGACACAATTCTAACATTTTTGGCTCTATACACCACCAGAATGGATTTGAAATGAAACGAACAAGATGTGCTTTAACTGCAGACTGTCAGCTTTAATTTGAGGGTATTTACATCCAAATCAGGTGAACGGTGTAGGAATTACAACAGTTTGCATATGTGCCTCCCACTTGTTAAGGGACCAAACGTAATGGGACAATTGGCTTCTCAGCTGTTCCATGGCCAGGTGTGTGTTATTCCCTCATTATCCCAATTACAATGAGCAGATAAAAGGTCCAGAGTTCATTTCAAGTGTGCTATTTGCATTTGGAATCTGTTGCTGTCAACTCTCAAGATGAGATCCAAAGAGCTGTCACTATCAGTGAATCAAGCCATCATTAGGCTGAAAAAACAAAACAAACCCATCAGAGAGATAGCAAAATCATTAGGCGTGGCCAAAACAACTGTTTGGAACATTCTTAAAAAGAAGGAACGCACCGGTGAGCTCAGCAACAACAAAAGACCCGGAAGACCATGGAAAACAACTGTGGTGGATGACCGAAGAATTCTTTCCCTGGTGAAGAAAACACCCTTCACAACAGTTGGCCAGATCAAGAACACTCTCCAGGAGGTAGGTGTATATGTGTCAAAGTCAACCAATCAAGAGAAAACTTCACCAGAGTGAATACAGAGGGTTCACCACAAGATGTAAACCATTGGTGAGCCTCAAAAACAGGAAGGCTAAATTAGAGTTTGCCAAACGACATCTAAAAAAGCCTTCACAGTTCTGGAACAACATCCTATGGACAGATGAGACCAAGATCAACTTGTACCAGAGTGATGGGAAGAGAAGAGTATGGAGAAGGAAAGGAACTGCTCATGATCCTAAGCATACCACCTCATCAGTGAAGCATGGTGGTGGTAGTGTCATGGCATGGGCATGTATGGCTGCCAAAGGAACTGGTTCTCTTGTATTTATTGATGATGTGACTGCTGACAAAAAGCAGCAGGATGAATTCTGAAGTGTTTCGGGCAATATTATCTGCTCATATTCAGCCAAATGCTTCAGAACTCATTGGACGCCGCTTCACAGTGCAGATGGACAATGACCCAAAGCAGACTGCAAAAGCAACCAAAGAGTTTTTTAAGGGAAAGAAGTGGAATGTTATGCAATGGCCAAGTCAATCACCTGACCTGAATCTGATTGAGCATGCATTTCACTTGCTGAAGACAAAACTGAAGGGAAAATGTCCCAAGAACAAGCAGGAACTGAAGACAGTTGCAGTAGAGGCCTGGCAGAGCATCACCAGGGATGAAACCCAGCGTCTGGTGATGTCTATGCGTTACAGACTTCAGGCTGTAATTGACTGCAAAGGATTTGCAACCAAGTATTAAAAACTGAAAGTTTGATTTATGATTATTATTCTGTCCCATTACTTTTGGTCCCTTAACAAGTGGGAGGCACATATGCAAACTGTTGTAATTCCAACACCGTTCACCTGATTTGGATGTAAATACCCTCAAATTAAAGCTGACAGTCTGCAGTTAAAGCACATCTTGTTTGTTTCATTTCAAATCCATTGTGGTGGTGTATAGAGCCAAAAATGTTGAATTGTGTCAATGTCCCAATATTTATGGACCTGACTGTATCTTTTGATTTTTAAAGAGTGAGTTCACCTTTTCTAACATGTTACATCCGTATTCAGGGTGAAACATGTTAATGCTGCAGCTGCCCCCACACCCACCTGCAACAGCAGGTCAGGGATCTTCTCCCCGAACTTGCTGTGCTCACCTAACCACATTATTCATTCACAGAGTTCCCTAAATATAATAACCACAAATACTGACAACCTTTAAGGTTGTCAGCTTGTCGTTCTCAATTAACTTCCAGGGCGCTGGTGAGCACTCTAGGTAGTTCAGTGATGCTTCCGGTCAATGTGTATCTGCCTGCCCATACGAGGTGCGAGCAGACAGCCTACACTTACAGTCTGCAGGAGCCTTGCATTGCAGCCGCAATCTGCTGATCATGGGTGCAACACTTTACAAGCTCCAAATTAATAAAAATAATAAATGCACATTTTTTTTTACCTGCATGTGCATTTATTTATTTATTTTTTTAAAAGGCAAACTTATCCTTTAAGATACCCATTAAACATTACATGCTTGATCCTAGCTATCTGGTTGCAATTATATTGTTGCAAAACGAAAACATATTCTAGGAAATGAGAGACCACCACACACCGATGTTGTCACTATAGTCCAGATTTATTTCATAGAGCAACTACAATCCACCTAAAAGCCATCCCTGCCGTAGGACCACCCCCTCTAATGCATTTCACCCAACAGGGCTTAATTGTAGAGTTCTTGTAAAGAATTTAGATACACTCCTGTCCTGCAGCCCACGCCGCTGCTCACTTCTGCTGTGCAGATAAATCGCTTGCTGGAGAATTTGCAAAATCTGAGTTCTCAATGATTAAGCACTTTTGGATGAAACACCTTAAAATGTGCAGTGCTAGGGTGAGAACTGCTATTGTAAATGTCTCTTTAGTGATTTTTCCAGGTTATGCAGGAATAGACGTCCTCTGATTCCTTGTGCGACCAACTAATGACCATTATGTGGTAGCCTGCTGTATGTTGGTAGATCTGCCTGTAGTCCACAGTTTGAGCACACATCCTTGGGTGACATTGCTGCTTCTGCTTTGGGAGCCACCCAGGAAGTGTTGTCCACCCCACAACAGAAAGTTGAAAGGTTCAAAAAACTGAAACAGAAGCAAAGTAGAGGACAACAATGGAACTCATGGAGAGGCTGCGATAATATCTTATGATGTAAGATACCCTTTAAACATGACACGCAGAGGCTCTGGCAGCACAAACGGCTCTGGCAGCTAAAGGGATAAAGTATAAGCCCTGACCCACCCTTTCCTGATGAGCAGCCAATCGTTGTTCATTACACTGCAAGGTCTCTCTCCTCCCTGCTAGTCCCCGGGTGCGGGGCTGGAGACAGGCAGGGAGGGGAGGAGACGATAAACCGCGCAATGGTAAAAATATTACACGTTTAAGTCGCCATAAAGCCCCCTTTGTTTTTAAAAGCCCCAGACATTCCTAATATCACCTCTGATTTAAATACGGTTTTGGTTAAAAAAAATAAAACTTTTATCAGGACAAGTAGATTGTCATAAGGGACAAGTAGATTGGGGCCTAGATTTATTCCCTGCACAAGTGGTTCTTTAAAAAATTTCCACACCCCTGCACGCTTGATCCTAGCTATCTGGATGCAATCATGTTTTTGCTTTTGATAGTAAAAATGAAAACACATTCTAGGAAATGAGAGACTGCTGCACACTGATGTTGTCACTGTGGTCCAGGTTTATTCTATAGAGCAACCACAATCCACACAGTCCTCGCCATAGGACCGCCCCCTCTAATGCGTTTAACCCAACGGCTTAATTGTAGAGTTCACATAGAGAACTTAGATACATCCCTCTACTTCAGCCCACACTACCGATCACTGGCTGGAGAATATGCAAAATCTGAGTTCTCTATAAGTAACCCCCTGGTGGTATTCCCGAGTGTAGCTCGGGGTAAAGTTTCAGTACCACAAGCTACACTCGGGCTTACCATGCGGCGTTGCTCCGGGAATCTGTTCTTCTCTTACCTTGTCCTGCGCTCCCGCGAGGTCCCCCCGGCAATGTCCCCTGTAATGTCCTCCGGCAGATGCCGGCATCTGTCATCTGGGTTCCGTCCCCTGCGACGTCGGGACGTACGGGGATGGAACTGGTGGGAAATTTGAAAATGACAAAAAGTAACATTCACTAAATACACTAAAATCACATAGTAAAACATTACTGTATCAAACCATTTCACATACATTTTGTCCCTACTGCTTTGTCCGGCGCCCTGCCTGCATTTTTACTGTTCTTTCTGCCTGGAAACTGAGAAACGTCCATGGCGTCCAAAAAGCATCCCTTTAGGTCAAAAGCGGTTTTAGACCGGCTAGAGAACAGCAATAGTAAATCAGAACCACTTGCAGAATTGAGTGATAATGATTCGTGGGGGAAATTCGTCATCAGACACTGAAAACGATTTTGCGACTTTGCTCAGTGATTTGCGAACTTGGCGGTATATTTCAAATTTCAGTGTTTTTGGTTTGATTATATTATTGAATTAAATGTATTATTATGTTATTATTTTTTATTATTTATTAAATTATAATTTATGATTTCGTGTTTCAAATTTTATCCTACCCGGGATGTTTACTAGACTCTTGCTCGGACAGATTTCAGTGAGTTATTCCTAAAAATGACAAGCCTACAATAAAAAAATACATATTTTAATGCAAAAAAAGTACCGCTTTGAGCACAGAAATATGGACATAATCAGACCACTAGGGAGGTTAAGCCCTACTGGGTGAAACGCGTTAGTGGGGGGGGCAGTTTTCGGGCGAGGACTGCTATAGTGTGGTTTGCTGTTGCTTTATGCAATAAACTCAGAATATAGGGATGTCATTGGTGTACGGTACTTCTTGCAGTGTGTCAGGAGCATGGACAGCTCTGATGGTTCCCCAACACCTGGCGTTTAGGTGGCAGTGGGAAGGATTGTCTTTGGAGTAGAGATGAATGAGTTATGTCATGGCAACATATTTTGCATATTCTTGTAGTTTCTTTCCGAACGGGACTGCTTTCTCTTGTCTTAGGATTCTCTGATATGCAGCTTATGCAGGCCATAGATGGGTCGAAAATCGGCCGATTTTTCAGGCAGAAAATAAAATCGGCCGATTTTCGGATCGTTAGTGGGCTATTTGTTCGGCCGTTTTTCGGTATTTTGGCAGATTTTTTTTATCGGTAAAGTTGGAAAAAAAATCGGCCGATTTTGCCGATCGGCCGATTTTCGCGGCAATGATGGGCAAATCGGCCGATTTTTTTACCGATAAAAAAATCTGCACATGAGCAGTGACCTGCAAGAGGAAGACAAAAAGAAGAAAAAGAAGAGGAAGAAGAAGAAGAGGATGTTGATGAAGAAGAAGAGGATGATGATGAAGAAGAGGATGATGATGAAGAAGAGGATGATGATGAGGATGATGATGATGAAGAAGAAGAGGGTGATGATGATGAAGAAGAGGGTGATGATGAAGAAGAAGAAGAGGATGATGATGAAGAATAAGAGGATGATGATGAAGAATAAGAGGATGATGATGAAGAAGAAGAATGAAAAATAAGAGGAATTCCAGTACGGCAAAAAGTGTCCCTGCAGAGAGCTCCGCTATTTCTTTGACAGTTCCTTGACATTTACAGCGGTTGCAACAATGTATCTATTTGTTTCCGAATAAAAACATCTGTATCCTAAATGGATACAAATAGATACGTTGTTGCAACCGCTGTAAATGTCAAAGAACTGTCAAAGAAATAGCGGAGCTCTCTGCAGGGACACTTTTTGCCGGCTGTAGACGGGATGAAAATCAGCCGATTTTTTTTTTTTACCATTGCTGGTAACGTCGGCCGCTTGAACGACCGATTTTTCATTTTTTAAAAGAAAAATCGGCCATTTTTCTCCCCGTCTATGGCCTGCATTAGAGTTCATATCTCAGATGTGTGGGCAAGGCTGCAGGAGAGAAGGGGTTGGTGGAACGTGAACACACTAGCTTATGTTGTTGCATGCAAAGATTCATGGCCATTAAGAAGATGAGAATGCTGCAAGAGGGATTTAGCACTTACAGTGCATATGTGATTATATCCTGAATAAATGATGTATTGTTATGTTAAATAATAATTCTTCACATTAATCTTTCAAGCTGCCACTAATGACCTTTTGCCGCCCACTATAAACATGCACATGTGCTAGTTTATTGGTTTCATATGATGCTGGTCACGACTAATTGCAGATGATGTTAATTACTGCAGAGAGCAGATAAAGCAATCCACATGTCTCCTTTCGTTGTCAGTAATACAAACGGCATGTCCAGGTACTATAATCTGAATTATTATTGTGAAACTACGCTGAGATATAACCTCTGGGACATACAAACACCTTTTTGTAGCATGTACACAAGAAAACCACCAGATGTTATGACTAGAAGAAGGCAAACTTCCCACCTCCGCCATTCCAGGTCTAATATACATTTATTGGTTAATTAAAACCTTCACTTTCAATCCTATTTATAGAAGTCCTATTGTTAACCAGATTTGAAGGAAACATATCTGTAAAGTTCAATCTCTCAGAACGGGGTTTAGTCCAGAGGTAGACAAAATATACCTCCAGGGCAAATGTAGCCAATTTTGCTTTACTGGAGTGGCAAAACTATTTTCTGACCAAAGTGAAGATTATTTTCAGATGAAAAGGAATATTGGGTTAGGCAAGTGAAATTTTTGTACCTAAACCCAAACTCAAAAATTTTAAATACTGCAGATTACTAATTTTTAAACGTCGTGGTTGCATCAGTTTTAATTTTTTAATCTTTTTTCCTAGTGATCCATCCAGTTAGTCAGCTTTTTTTAACTCCCTTGAACAGACCAAGCTGTCCAGCAAAAGTTTGTTTTTAATTCGTTAGTCAAGTCAATCTAAATTTGCTAGTGCGTTTAAGTGTAAAATGTTTGCATATCAAAATTGCACATCCATCATTACTTCTGGTATGCCTTAGAACAGTGGTTCTCAACCTTCCTAATGCCCGACCCATTAATACAGTTCCTCATGTTGTGGTGACCCCCAACCATAAAATTATTTTCGTTGCTACTTCATAACTGTAATTTTGCTATTATTATGAATCGTAATGTAAATATCTGATATGCAGGATGTATTTTCATTGTTATAAATTGAACATAATTAAAGCATAGTGATTAATCACAAAAAAAATATGTAATTATATATTGTGAAATATTTTTATTACACCCCTAAAAATACATCTGCTTCCAATAATGATGATTACCCCACTCCCCTCTATAATGACCTATCACCCCCATCAAAATACATCTGCCCCCTAATAATTACGCCACCCCTCTCTATAATGACCTATCACCCCCATCAAAATACATCTGCCCCCTAATAATTACCCCACCCCCCTCTATAATGACCTATCACCCCCATAAAAATACATCTGTCCCCAATAATGATGATTAGCCCCTTCCTCTATAATGATCTATCACCCCCATAAAAAATACATCTGCCCCCAATAATGATTACCCCCCCAAATAATCTGCCCCTCATCCCTATAAAAATGCCCCCCCCAAATGATAGTTTGTCTGCCCTTCTCCCCCTCTATAATAATGTATCACCCCCATAAATTATATATCTGCCCCCCATAATAATTTATCTGGGGCGGGGTACAATGAGAGCCCCTCCCACTGTACGATGGGGTAGGCACTAACCTGGATCTGCCCCGATCTTGTTGGGTGATCCAGGCATGACATCGGCCACGTTCAGGCAGTTCATGGGGATGGTTGGTTGGGTCATTCAGGGCGGGAAACTTCGGAATGATCGGAGCGGCGGGAGATCTCCGCACAAATCCTCCGCTTCAAACAGCTGCGCGCGTTCCGGCACAAAACCCAACCAATCAGGGACGGACCGGTCTACCAATAAGCGAAGGCAGAGGGAGTTAAATCCCCCTACCCGGAGAGGGGGGCGTGCCCAGGTGTGATTGACACGTGTCTTGACAGCGGTGTCTCAGTTCCTAAGACCATCGGAAATATGTGTTAGGCGACCCCTGTGAAAGGGTCGTTCGACCCCCAAAGGGGTCGCGACCCACAGGTTGAGAACCACTGCCTTAGACGATGTGGGGGACCTTTAAAATATTTTTGATGTTACAAAAGAGCTAAAATAAAGAAAACTCCACCTTCCAGTAGCCTAGCTTTTTGTGACCTTTTTTAACACTGATGAACCCTGGAAATACCTTTCTGGACTCAGGGTACCCCTGATAGTTATTACTATATCTACAGCTCACAGTATAGTGTGATGGTCAATGGAAAGATTGTTCATTTCAGTTGTGGTCAGTAGGAAGCAACTTCTCCTTACAGTTTGCTAAGAAAATAATTGTTGTCCGTGGTTACTTAACAAAGAGGCAGAAATTGCTCATTACTCAAGGAACACCTAGGATTCCATGGACCCCTGGCTGAGAAAGGTTGCTTTAGTCTATACAATCCCTGCACACCCTTCACCGTAATGCTGTTACCAGCCTGATTGCTCGTTGGCATTAGATAGGGGTTTCCTTCTTATAGCTAGTTTTTGTTTGTGCCATTCCTCCAAAGAGCAATCAGCAATGGTTCAACCGCAAGTGTAAACGAGCCTTTAATTTGCTAGTTTTGATGGGTATTGGAAAATAGTCGCAACTCTGCTATCCCCCAATGCAGGGCATATAGGTTGTAGCACCCTCCTTTTCATATCTTGCTCCTCTTCTTCCACTGAATCTCCAGTCAGGCTTAAAAGGGGGAAAAAAAGCAGTCAGCATAGACATCCTTTACCTAATTTTCAAGAGGGAATCCTGTAATTGAGGTCCCTCTAAAATTCTTGTCTAAGTTCAACTTTCTAAAGGAAAGTTAAAAAATGCTTGGCAGGAACCCACCAGCAACTATGTATGGTAGTTGGGTGCTTGACCTGAGCACTGAATTTTACAGAGGTAGGGAGGGGAGCTAGTATTATCCCATACTCAGACTTAATATGCATTTTGTTGGGCTCTGGAGGCACAACAGGCCTGCGGGGGAGCAGAGCTCAAGAAAGAGTGCCCACCTTTTGGGGTGTACCACAATTGCCGCTGCCTAGACCATTGGCCTCCAAACTGCAGCCCTTTGCTTGCCTTTATCTGGTCCTTGGGGTACTATTATTATACAGGATTTATTGTGCAGCACTTTACAAAATGAAGGCAGACATTACAATTGCAATACAGTTTGGTACAAAAAAAATCAGAGGGCCCTGCTTGTTAGAGCTTACAATCAAAAAAGAAGAGTCAAGTGATACAAACGGTAATAGCCCTGGGGATATGAGCTGATGGAGAAAGTAAAAACATAGTGCATTAGTTACAAGCAGGATAGGTTTCTTTAAAGAGAAGGGTTTTCATGGATCGTCTAAAGGTGGACAGATTAGGATACAGTCAGACAGATTGGGGTAGGGAGTTCCAAAGGCTGGGAGAAGCTTGGGAGAAGTCTTAGAGGCGAGCATGGGGGGAGGTGACACGGGAACTAGAGAGCAGGAGGTCTTGGGAGGACCAAAGAGAGCGGTTTTGTTGGTATCTTGAGGCTAGGTTAGTGATGTAGCTGGTGGCCAAGTTGTGGATGGCTTTGTAAGTTGTTGTGAGTACTTTGAATTTTATTTGTCGGGTGAGTGGAAGCCAGTGGAGGGATAGGCAGAGACAATGGGGAATAATTTCTGTCACTGATAGCAGCAGTGGGGCACTAATCCTTCCACTGATACCATCAAAAGGGCACAAACCCTCCCACTGACACCAACGAAGGGGCACATTTCCTTCCATTTACACCAGTGATTGGGAACAACTCCTTCCATTGATTCCAACGATGAGGCATAATTCTTTCCTTTGATACCATCGATTGCCATTATTTCTCCCATTGACACCAACAAAATGGCACAATTCCGGCCACTGACACCAACGATGGGGCACAATTCCTCCCTTTGACACCAAGGATGAGGTACTATACTAGCAACAATGTGACACTATTCCTTCCACTGACATCAAGGATGGTGCACTAGTCCTTCCACTGACACCAAAGATAGGGCATTGTTTACTCCCACTGGATGCAGGACATTTTCTGCTTCCACTGGCCCATGTCCGGTCCCCCAAAGTCTGAAATACAGTAAACTGGCCCTTTGTTTACAAAGTTTTGAAACCCCTGACCTAGACAATAAAGCTGTACAGAATATACTGCAGGTTTACTTGTTTTAGTGTATTCCTTTTTACTTTCAAGTTCCACTAGAATCAGTTTATTTACCTTTGACAGGTCCCCTTTAATCATTATTATTTACACAGCTACAGTACATTTTCCATTTCACAATCATGTTTATTTTCAAAACATTCCTCATTATGTTGTGCAAGACCAGTCAGAGCCTGAGTAACATGGTCACCTGATGCAAGTCGCTATTTTGTTCGCTTTCTGGATACATCAGTAATTATGGTGTACCAGCCTTGCAGTACAGCAACTTCAACTACACAAGACCTCCGCTCCTATG